AAAAACAGTTTGATGGAAAAATAGAGTACAGTATCGCCTAACACATATTTGTCACACTAGCACATTTACAGTATAGTATACTAATGTTACTCCTACTAATTCATAGAACACGGCATTGGCTGCCGTTTTGTTTTGCATTCAGAGTAAGGTAAAATGAGTAAACGAACGGGACTGTAAACTTATTGGCAGAAGTCATATACATAACAAAGGTACAATTCAATAAAATACATCAAGGAAACTTGTACATGTAATTTTCTTGGATCTGTGAATTCGTGAATCACGAAGCGTGAATGCACGAGGGCTGACTGTATTTGCAACATCTTGAACACATAACATTTCTCTTATGGGTTATATCTAGAACTTCTGTTTTGCTTTTTGGAACTTGTTAACAAGAATGATAGTCTTGTAATAATCACTGTAGGAAAGAACAGCAATAATAATATTATTATTATATATAATAATATTATTGAAATTATATCATATTAATAGTACTTGATCCTTTTTTACACAAAGTGCCCAGAGTAAAACAGATTTGGTTATTACTGTAGTTTGCCCCATCAGTCTGTTACGTCTTGCCCGTCATGTCCGCCTCCCTAACGTGCCCCCATGAGCCGTGCCTGTTGCTTGTTACCCCTCATTAGCTTTAGTATATAAGTTCCTGTTTGTCTCGTCAGCCCCAGTCCGGTCATTGATGTCGCTCCTGTCTGCCCATGTCCTTCCCCCTTCTTGCCGTCTTGTTTTGACCCCTCACACTCTCTCTTTTATTTCTCTGCTCCCATTTAGGTCAGTTAAACCTCTTTTGTTCACTAAATGTCTTGCATCTCCTGACACAGTCCAGACTCCTCCTGGTGTGCCACGTACTTTTCAGGTCTCAAGGTCTTTCTTTCACACTTATTTGCCTTTTACTGGAGATTATAAGTTTCCAAAGAATGTCCCATTCAGTTTTTTTTTTTTTTACTCCTCAGTGAAGTGACAGTGTAGCTCAGTGGTTAGCTTGACACATTCAGGGTTATGTGTTTCATTCCCACCCAAGACTCTGGTTCTGTGGGGGGGGCATGTATGTATTACATTGTATTAGGGCAGGGTAGGGGTTATGGTTGTCATAGAGTGGATTAGGGTTATGCCCACAGAGATGAATGAAGAATCCACACAAAGATATGGTTACATAATGTGTGTGTGTGTGTGTGTGTGTGTGTGTGTGTGTGTGTGTGCCTGTGCATAGGTTTTCTCCAGATACTCTGGTTTCTGATCAAGGTTTTAAAAAGTGTATGGTTTATTTTAATTATCTTTAAATCGTTCATAATGTGTCTGAATTTGTGTACTATGATGGACTGGCAACTCATCCACAGCGCCCCCTGCTGGGCTGTCTGTGTTTGCTGGGGACGGCTCCAGGCTCGCTGACATCCTGTGCTGGATTAGCTATGAGGAGGATGAATGGACCACATCAACAGCTGAATTATTGGCCATAAAAAACAATCACAAAGTAATTTAAAAAAATTAAAATGTACGTTTTTGTGTATATTGCACAATTTACTAAGAATGAATAATGTTTATATAAAATTCCAATCATTTGGCTTAGATGTATTAGACTGATTTAATTATCCTATTCATGAAATGTAATCAGTTGTAATTTAAACAGAAAGAGAGCAGTTGTTACTGTTTTACTCTTCAACGACATTTAAAAAGATCTGAAGAATATTTCAGCAGCTTCTGCTAAATGTCTAAGCCCCCACCACTGGCAGACAAACAGCACCTTGTCTCAGAACGCCTACCAGCCAGGCAAAGAGGTGAGAGGTGCAGGCAGACAAAGGTGTGGACGTGAGAGGAGCGAGCGGGGCTGCAATCTCTGGGCTGGGCTTCCCGCGGCTCTTGAAAATAGCCTCCATCTCCCAGCGATACCATCAGCGCCAGCAGCCTGTTGCGACGGCAGCCGGCACAGTGGCAAAAAAAAAAAATGGGCTGAGAGCTGAAAATAAGGTCTCAGAGATAAGAAGTTAATAAAAAATGGTTATTATATTTCAGATAAAAACAGTAGCACAGCACTGATAGCAAGGCAATGCAGACCAAGCGCATTAAATGCGCCGGCTCATAAATGGCACGCGAGCGCCCTGCGATAGCTGTCCTGTTTTCAAACCGCTCATCACGCAATACTCGTAAATCAAATTAAGGCGTATCTCATGCCAGCTGCTGCACCTACAGAGCGATGGCTAGGCGTTCTAGGGTACGGAAGGAGAGGAGAAACCGGTGGTGAGGGCTAAGTGTGCGCTTACGGTTGACGAACAGTCATCTGCCAAAATCACCGTGGTGACTGGACCCTGACTTAGCGTGGTGGGAGGTGGGTGTGCGATCAAAAACGTCAGCTGCCCATCAAACCGCAAGTGCTTCGTTGGTCCTGGCGAGAAAACTAACAGATCCAGGTATGTGGAAGTACAACAGCATGCCAGCTAACTCTGTCATGGACGTCTTTCATAAAATATTGGACTAGTTCCAAAACCAAGTCATATTTCTTGGGGCTGATGCAGCGGCTCATGAGTGGAAGACTAGGACACAAGGCTATGCTGAATCCGTACTCCTTCAGTTATCTTATGAGCTAATTTGTTTCGGTCTGCATTTTCTTTTTCCGTTTTGCTTTATTTGCTGAATTGATATATGGTATCTAAAGTTTTTACCCATTCAGTATTTGATTATAAGGGCTCCTCCTCCCCTTGTGCCTGAGCATTACAAGTCCAAAGTAAGCATCTGCTACCTTAGTTATGGTAATAAAGAAATTATCTACAATATTGAGACTGGTAGCCTTGATCTTGATTAACGGAGACAACGGAAAGCCACAGAGCAAATCACAAATACAGGTTGAATTATCACAGCCAATTCAACCCGTTTTTGTGCATATTTTCCTGCTGAGGACAATGATTTGACAAGTACTGTACCTTGAGTGATTTATAAAAACATTTATTTCTAATTACAAACTAACGAGTGGCAACACTTTGAAGATATCTGTTTGAAAAGACTTCCATCTCCTGTAACTGCTTGTCTTATTGGGGATTGCAGGGGGCCCAGAGTCTACGGCACCTCTGGGCACAGGGCAAGGAACAATCTAGAGCAGGGCACACTCACATAGGCAAATTGGTACAGTAACTCCAATTAACCTCAGCATGTTTTTGGACTGTGGGGGAGAACCAGAGCACCTAGAGGAAACCCCGCGATGACATGGGGAGAACATGCAAACTCCACACACAGCTAACCACTGCACCACTGCAACACCATGCCACGGCAATTGAAGAGCAAACTAAATTAAAATTAGAAAAAAAAAACACTACGTAACAGCCAGAGAGAGTCAGCTTTTTTTTTTAACTAAGAGCCATTTATGGATTGCCTGCTAACAGGGTAGTGAGTTTAGTGGGTTAAAAAATGACAAGTGGGTAAGAAAAAGGATTCATCCTAGGAAAGAAAAAGAAGCAAATCACTGGCACACAGTACATCAGCATGTTGTACTGATGTTACTCAAATGTTCGTATGCAACCGAAGAGACTATAATTTTCTTTTATTCTACAAGGATGAAGTAAACAACTTACACAATGACCAGCAAATCACAAACTAGACATTATCTGCTGCTGTCTGCAGTTGAAGCCAGTAAGGCAGTGATGGGCCCATGAACACGTACAGAAATCTGTCTTGCACAGAACAGTTAAAATAAGCTTTAACCCAAAGGAAAGTATGGATATGATTGCAAGTACTGTATAACTTTTTTCCATACATCTCCTATAGCCAGCAATAGCATTTGACACTCTAACAGCTCACCTACTTCTTTTTCTTCAAAAGTGTCAACTACAGATAATTTCACACCACAAACTTCATGTCAGGCACTACCTCAGATAATCATATGCTCATAAGAAGTATATGTTATGAGCGTAGAGGAATATATCAAACATTGTCATTCATACTGTAGGCCTATATTCCATTAACCCCCTGCCTGTTGAAACAGTCAGATTTAAGAACCAAATAAATAAATAAACTCATTTCAGTGAGGTGCACAGACTCCATGGGGCATCTCTGGGAGGGGACAGTAAATTTTGCTGCCGGGGCAGGAGGGTTAGGGGGGTAAATTTTGCGTGACATGAGAGATTATCCCCTTTGGTGAGTTTTCACATTTTGTGTGATCGTCAGTTATCGAAGGGAGCATTAAAAACATGAAAATTAGCCACTTTCAATCGTTCAGGTGCAAGAGGCAGGTGCTCAGGCACCTCGAGTCTATCCCTTATTTATTGGTTATTGAACAATTGATTATAACTGACTAATTCGGAATGATTTCTGGGCACAATGTACCTGGTACAGACTGATGGATACTCTGTCCTATTTCATTAACTTTTCATAGCTTTGTTGTTAAGGACTGTATCAATGCATGATGAAATCTGAAAACAGGAGCAACATACAGCAACTCTTTCTGCAGACTATACTTTTTGTTAACAAATTTCTTCGGATTTCATCCATTGTATATAAAATTTCCTGCGGTAACATTCCTTTGGGAGGCATTTTTTTCTCTCCTTACCTATGATAGACTTCTGTCAAACTGAAAATGCAGAACATTTACAAACGAAAAAGATTGTTCTGTGTCCTGCAAGAGCGGCTGTGACTTCTGAGTACTGGATTAGCAGCACCGAGACGTGGGTTGGTTGGGGCAGCNTAGCAGCACCGAGACGTGGGGGGGTTGGGTGAGGGGGGGTGGTTGGGAGATGTGGTGCTGCCAGATAATTTGTGATTAACCAAAACAAGACCTCCTCCCTTCTGACTCAGGGCTGCTTTTCCCAAATCGTGATCTGCCAGGACCAGATGTTTTCTGAAAAGATGTTAGCTGCCTGTCTCAGAACATCACCGACCAGAATAAGCCATTAGAAGATGGCTGGACACATGCATATTAGCTAATTGAGCAGCAATTAAAGCATGCTAAAAAGTCTTATGCATTGGTAAACATTCGCTGATACATGTTTTTTTTCCCCACACAGGAGAGGAGTTTTATGAAACCTCTCCGTATGAGCCAATGACAATCCAGCATTCTGATGTGTTTCGACTGGCATCCATTATCTCAGGTAAGAAGTGTTGTTTTAGCCAGGCTGCCTTAAGTAATGATTGATCCCTTTGATAAATCAATTCCTAGTGCAGCCTGAACTCACAGCATTATCAAGATTTTCACTTTCAGAAGGTTGTTTATAATTTCATATTGAACCAAAGCCATGCTTTATTCTGTTCACATGTTCAAGAATCAATCAAGAAATGTAAATGAGATATACAGGTCCTGTACATATTACTATCGTATTTATAGGTACTTTGATCAATACTGAAGTTTATGACATTATGAAAAATGAAGTAGTGTCATTTCAGTTTCCTTTGTAATAACAATTAATGTATGAAGAGAAACAGATTTTATGTGGTCCACCAATATTTGAAGCAGCAAATATTAAATATTACTTGCAGGTTTCTAACTATCAATATCAAGATAGGATTTGGAAATACTTTAATGACATGATAAAGGTTTCACATCCTTAAGAATTTATTTTTAAGGATGCTTTTTATTTTATGAAGAATCTTTTCTTCTGTAGATTCTTCTTAGTTCTAATTGTTTCTGTATAAAGCTTTTTTTTTCTATGGCACACCAGTGAGAATAGTGAGAATATTTTCTGATATTAGAGAACACATTTTGATAATGGATCTGTTTAATTCATATATTGAGGTACACTGATCAAAAGGTTCAAAAATCAATAAAATGATTGCAGTGATATGAAAAAAATAGGTGAGACTGAATGCTAATAGGCTGAACAGTGGTCATTTGAAATTTTAGTCACTGATTTTGAATCATTACTGTCTGCCATCTAAAAACAGACCATTCCGTTTCCTGGCTTAGAACTAAGCAGAACCCTTTGTTTTCCCAACGGTTGTATCAGTAGTTATATTATTTCTCAGTAGAACAGCTCCTGTGTGTTTTCATTAAAATTTATCACAAGTCCAGTTGCTTTAGTCAACAACAATCAATAGCCACTAGGAATCTCAATGCGGCAGGTTCATACAACCCATGGAAGAATAGAATCCTCCTTTGGGGATCCACTATGTTGTTCTGTAAGAACCAGTGGTCTGCTGGAAATCCCAGCTGAGAAAGGAAAGTGTCTATTAAGGGAATGTTCATTTCCTTACCACCTAGAAGGAGCTAATTCACTGGTTTTAGCCTAAGAGGGGGAGGACACGAGTAAGCAGATGTGGGGACTGCAGGACATGTGACCCCACAGCCTCCCTTTACGTGATGAGTACGGCCAGCAGAAAGAGCAGAAGAGAGGAGGAGAGAAGCCTGAGGTGAAGATGACAGAAGCTTGAACGAGGTTGTTGGGGGGGGGGGGGTGTTGCAGGGTGGGAGACGCTCTGAATGGGCCCAGCTCAGCAGGTGCTGCTTGAAATGATGCTGGCAGCTGCTTGAAAAGATGCTACCATCAATGCTGTGGGCAGGTCCAGCCAAATCTCTAACAGTGCAGCATTGTGGCTAACTATGGCATGGGCTGTTGGAGATGTACTCCAACTACGGCATGGGCTGTTGGAGATGTACACTAACTATGGCATGGGCTGTTGGAGATGTACACCAACTACGGCACGGGCTGTTGGAGATGTACACCAACTACGGCACGGGCTGTTGGAGATGTACACCAACTATGGCATGGGCTCTTAAAGTCTGGCTCAGGCTTCCTCTCAGCAGATTACATTTAAAATACACACACAGTGTTATTCAAGCCTCGCATCTGGAAAATGTTGTTCACCAGAAGCATATTTTTGCAACGTATAATTTATAAAATGAGAAAATATATAATAAAGACCTGCATACAAAACCTGGTTTATTATTGTAATTATGATTATTGTTATTATTATTGTTGTTGTCGTTGTTATTATTATTATTATTGTTATTATTATTATTATTATTATTATTATTGTTGTTGTTGTTTTGTTTTCTTTTTGAGGATTTCTCATGAAAACAGATACGATTTGAATGTATAAATATCTTATTGGGGGGAATATGCTTACAAAGATATTGTCAAGTTCAGAGCTTGTCAAGGCAGACAGCCGTGAGGTGGGAGAAAATAAATTTGCTTTCGAATATGTTCATGCATTTATCCCCTAATGATTTCCAGTTTCCTTTGATGCAATATACAGGCACTCTTAGGCAGAAACCAGCTAGCCCTTCCTGATAATTCCAGACAATATAAACTGGCAAACAGACAGGATTTTACAAGACACAATAGTAATATTATATTTATAAAAACATATTTATATGTAATTAAAGACCAAGTAATAAATTAACAATATTGACAAATCTGGCATTGCAGTTATTGACGTATACATTTTAGGTATACGGGCAATAGGAAGTGTTTAATTATAATAATAAATCTTATTGTGTATCTAATTAACAACAGCAGCTCTACTGAATTTCTGCTTTTACAGCTTTGGGCCTATAAGTATAAAGTATGGACAGCAGGCCTTGTTCCTTGAAGACATTCAATACAAGTGTATTCGTTTTTTTTTTTTATTCAATTAATTGGACAATGGTGTTATTTTTTTCCCAATCCTTTTATAAATCAAATTTGGCCTGGAATTCATGCCTGTTGCAGAGATAATCAGTAGTGCTATGATATTTTGAATGGAAATTATATAATTGTCACTACAAATAACTTTTCGTAACATCAATAGTATATATTAATTTTCTTCAAATGAAAATATGACATTTATAGCAAATTAACCTGTCATGATTAAAGAGTAACCTAAATACACTGTTGTCGTTCCAACAGCATCTAGTTTTATTTACTGTAGTGAAATAATGGCAAATAATGGAGAGATGAGGGAAATGAGCTGCTGTGGTTAATCACATTTACCTGGAAAAAATGTGCAGTGTAAAGTGCTTAGCTTTTCATTAAGGAATAAAATGCCAAAATATTATTGTTGTGTGAATTCATCAAAGGGCATCGTGTCTTGCATTTTAAATCCAGATCAGATTCATGCACTGTTTTGATGTTTTGTTCGAGTACTTCTGGTAGGCCTACCTCAGAATAAACGTAATTATAGCAAAGACAAACAAACAAACAGCCACTCGATGAAGCACAGCCTTACAATTTTTTAATACACATGTAAGTTGGTAATTTGTTAGCAGGACAGAATCGATCATTCAGAATGGCAGAAAACATCCTACATATCTGAAATACTAAAAAGACGTGCAAATTCAGCAGGCCAGCAAGAATTTATAAAATGAAACTAGCGATACAAACTAAATCAAAGCATGGATATTATTAAAATACCTTTACTTTTCCATGCACTGTCATACTGTGATTAATATTGTTCATTACATTGTCTTTAGTTTAATGTTTTTTTCTATGTAGCATGCCAATCAGATTTCTTTGTCGAACCTAACACCTGCATTCTCTCAAGCTAATGGATGGGTGAACATATTTAATGAGTGATTCGAAGAGGCGGTTGTTCAGTTGAAGAATCCTCATATTGCATGAGTGTGCGCATATGTGCTAAATGCTAATTGTGCATGTGATTGTGAGATTCATACCGGCTGCTTATTAAAAAAAATCAAAAACCTACAGTACATTCGAAGAGCTGTAAGCCTAGAAACAAAGCTGTATATCTAAATGTAGCTGGTTGGAATAACACTTGCAGTAGATGCTATCAAATTAATAGCGATGAATTATCATTGTTGACATGCTCCGGCACACAACAACAACATGTGTCCTCTGCGTTTTAACCCATACGTGACACAGCAGAGGACAACTATTATTTAGCACCCAGGGAGCAGTGTATAACAGTGATATCTTGCTGGTTAGGGATTCAAACCAGCAACCTTTCAATCACAAGAACAGTTCCTTAACCATTAGGCCACTACTGTCCCTTGACTGCCCAACTAATGCTGCAAAAGTAATGATGAACTGGGCATTAGCAACACCAACCCTTTGTAGTAGAGTAATTCTCATTTTGCAATTGTGCATATACATCTGTGACAGTGACTTTTATTTCGGTCACACTGGTCGTGATATGGCTGTTTTGTGGGAAAGGCCAATCTTGCATGAGGCCATAAAAATAAGGGGATGTATTTTTAGATAGGATTTTTTCCACATTCTACTGCTTAGTCAAACTATATATTAACTAGAATTATTTTGGATTTTATTATCACTCTCTGGCACATTAATGTCCGTAATGGAGTCATTCTTCAAGTGTGACCTCAGTTGGAAAGTTACATAATTTAATGTGTGATATAAATGTTTAAATTGTGTATCTATATTTCAGTATGTTTGCTGTTTGTACAATCAATTTTGATAACAGTTATAGATTGGGGAAAAATAGAAAAAATCATTTAACTTTCTCTTGAGATAATGACTAATGAAATTATTGTGTAAAAGACTATACAATGCAAATCTTTGTATTCCTTCACAAAGACAAATGATGTCAAAATGTAAAGGAAGACAAACTTGGAGTCAAAAGCCAACTCTCAAAGGCTGCCAATATGGCAAGTCATCTCCATGGCAGACCAACTTGCTTGGATAAAACATGGGAACAGCACTGTAAACTGATCAGTGTTTCCCACAAAGTATGCAGAAAAAAGATGAAAATCAATTAATGTAAATGAATGAAAAGCAATGAAAATACTTCTGGGCTGGTATTCTTGTTAAATTATCTTTAAATGTTTGTTTTAATACCTGACTTTGGGGTGTTCGGAATGTTTATTATGTAAAACACTAAAATATATGAAATATTTAAATTTTCACTTTTTTAAATATTCACTTTTTTAGTCTTTGTAAACTTTGCTCATTTAAATAAACTTTTAGCAAACATCAGAATAAGTTGATCAGCACTTGCAACAAGCATTTGGAAGTGTTTTTTAAATATATTTATGCTGCACAATATACTACATAATATCGATAGCAATCAAATTCTGACTTAGGAAACACCTTATTAACCTGCTGTTTTGCCTTGAAAAAGCAGGAAGCAACACGCCCCAAGTCCACAACTGCTGCTTCCACATTCCTAAGCTTTTCTTATTTACAGAATTTGTTCAGAG